TTAACCATAACATCTAGTAAGCCTGAGAAGGGAAAGATAATGCTTGTCCTCCGTCCCCTCTGGTCTGGCATAGTGAGACACCCTCTCACTTTATGCATGAGGAGAGACCGAGCTGACGTATAAAGGTGCACACCAGGATTGAGAAATGGTACTCTCAGAAAGGTTAAGGGTCCCTATGAAGACACTTCATCAGACTTTGGCCCTGGTCTATGAATTGCAAGCGCTGAGCCCCTGATCTAGTTGCTAATGCTAACCACCAGAACCAGGAATCTCCCCAAATATCCCATCTCTGATTCCAATCCAAGATTCTAGGAAGTAGAATCTCTTTTGTGACTCAAGTCGACTTCTGAAAACTTTCATAAGTGTACTAGACCACAAAAATCTAATGTGCAGAACTTGACCGCATTAATGTCACGTAATATTTCACTATTTCCCCATCATTTTTCTATATGATGAGGTTATGAGAAGGGTTTTGGTGATCTCAGAGATGCCCAGTAATAAGTGTTAGTACATTTCTGTATCTGAAAAATCATTCCCTGTGTCTTCTGTCTGATTTCCTTTGGCCCTGATTACTTTGAGTTAAAAGGAAAATTGTTTTATTAGAAGTACAGTTGGTATACAATATTACATTGGTCTTGGGTGTAACATAGTGGTTCAACAATTATATCCATTACAAAATGCTAACCACAGTAAGGGTAGTTACCACTTGTCACCATACGAAGACATTACAAAGTTGTTGATTATATTCCCTATGCTGTACTTTTTATCCCCATGATATATTTATTATATAATTGGAAACCGGAACATTTAGAGGAATTTTTGAGCTCAGGCTTCTAAGAGTAAAAAAAAAAACCTAAGTGACAATAAAGCTAAACATCTAACTTTAAGTGTGTTTACTTGGGAAAATAAGATTCACCCTATGATAAACAGCCCTGGCTTTTTATTTCTAAATTCAAGATTTTAAATAGTTACTGTGCATAAGGCCCATCCACATAGCTAACATCAAAAGCAGCCCCAAACCTACGGCAGATCATGAAAATTTTCTGATCCCCTGTAGAAGTGGATGTGTCTGTAGGGCCAGGCACATGGTGTACAACTAACTCTATTCTATGCATCGTTAGGGTGAAACCAGAGGCCTTAGAGAAAAGCCCAATAAGAAAACAGAGGAAGAAGTGTCATTCTGAATGGGTAGACAGGGCAAGACTCTTATGACTGGAGATGTTAGGGCTTGGTGTTTAAGGAAGTATAGGATTTCCTCACTTAGAAAAAAAATGAGGGGGGCCCTTGTCAGAGAGAAGAGCAAACGTGGAGGTCCCGGGGAGTCAGCCCGTAGGATGGAGTTGGATTTCTGGATGCTGCTGTGTGTGATCACACATGAGTGTGCGGAAGAGACAGTGATAAGATTTAAAACGGGAAAGCCAGGTGGTGACCAGCTGATTATTAAGGTTTTTGAATTCCATATTAACAAGTGTGACTTTATTCTACAAGTAACTGTAATGTAGTCAAGTTTTATATGTGGTCAGAGCTGTTCTAAAAAATATTTTTCTGACAATTGTAACTCCAGAAATAAGAGGTGTCAGTCTCCATTGCGTACACCATTAAATCAAGTTCTAGGACTCTGTCCCTGACCCACCGTGTGGGCACAGTGAGAACTCTCCGATCGGCTGTTCAGGGTCCCTCCATCTCAAGGAATGGAGCTGCCCTCCACCACTTTCCCCTGTGACCCAAAACACTCGGCTGAAGGAGAACTAAAAGGAAAGCCAAAGACTTATTTTATTCACATTTACTTGGGATTGTTTTTTCATGGTGTAGACAATTCATTCACTGAGTAAATGCATGTTATCCATGCTTGCTTCACAAAGTTGTAGGTGCTTTTTGCAATGTTTACCTAACTTGAGGATTTACTTTATTAGATAGAAAAACAGGATGCAGAAAATCACCGGTTACAACAGGAACTACAGGATGCCAGAGACCAGAATGAGCTGCTGGAGTTTCGAAACCTAGAGCTAGAAGTAAGGAAACGATGATAATCATGATAATCAAAATAATCAAAATAATTAACATGCACTGAGCATGTTCTACGTGTGAGGTGCTGAACTAAGCGTTTCAGATGCAGATTCTCACTGGACCTCACAGCCACGTCAAGATGTCATAGATGAGGCAACCAAGGTTAAATCACGTGCCTAAGTACTGTGACTTCTACGTGGTAAAGTACTGACGCGACTCAAGAATTGTCTGCTCAGATACCGTGCTTTTCAACACTACTGGATTTATGAACCAGACTAATGAATAATTTTTTAATAATTTAAATCGTAGATTTCAGACATCAATATTTCATTGCCTTTAAGTAATCATTTCCATCCTTCATTGAATTCTGACTCATAAAAATTGTTGAGTCACTCAACAGTTACCTCAAGAATTGTATTTCAAAATGTGCTATATGCAAAAATATTTTATCAGCTGCTTGAATTTGTAAGTGAACATTTTTGTCTAAGTGCATTCATGCCAAAAGCTAAGAAGCAAGCAAACTTGTTTGAGCAAATTTTAGAGTCTTTTTTTTTTTTTTTAAAGTAAAATATATCCATCAAATCAGATCTCAGTTGTGTCATGCCGAATCTGGCTTCGGGTCTAGTTGAATGCATGTTGATATGTAAAGGACAAGAAAAATTTCCTTTTTATTTCTTTGTTATTCTGTCAGCAGCTTCTTAAGTTATTTCAAACTGGGTTTTGATAGAGTGAGCAGTTGGCATTCCTCAGTGAAGAAGGGTTGTCATCTTTGATAGACCACATTTCTTACTCCTAAAGCTTGATGAATTGAATATGCAAAAGTCTGTTAGCTGCCATAAAACTTCATGGTCAAAAGACCACTCTTTGTGACACCTGGAAGCTCTGAATATTCATACAGTTTAAATTGGAGCTCCTGCATTTCCCCCCGATCAAAAGATTTGCAAGACTGGGTGACACTATCTATAAATACTTGTCCATACCTCTTAGTTGATTAATCAGTTCTTTCCCATTAAATTTAAGCCATGAACATCTTGAGTTACATTTTTTTTTCCACATAACATATTGATAAAATGATGAAATAGCATAAAGAGAGGACAGACAACTGGTTTAGTGTTTAATCAGTTGTTGCTTTTTGAGAAAATTCTTACCTATTCTTCACTGTATTTCAAGGAAAGAGAGAGGCGATCCCCTCCATTTAATCTACAAATTCACCCATTCTCGGACGGTGTGAGCGCCCTGCAGATCTACTGTATGAAAGAAGGTGTCAAGGTAGGCAGATACTTATTTTTTTATGTTTGTAGAAAGTAGAAAATCTGGGAGTTGGAAAAAGGGAGGTTCTCACGATCATTTTGTCTTTCAGTTATTGGATGTCATTTTGATAACAAAACTATGTGGGAATTGAAAATACTTTTGGAAAATCAAGAAAGCAAAATAAATGTGTGACAGATATGAATGGCAATAGCAGAGAACACAGGAAGCCACGATAACTTAGTAGAATAACAAAAAAAAGATACAAAATCAAAACATTTATTAAGATTATTACCTTAATTATCTAGGGGAAATACTACCTAAATTTGATACTTCGAGAGCCATATTTCAAGTGTGCCAGATAAAAAAAAGTCTCTGTTGAGTCCCTTGGTTGTCTTATTCTAAGTGCTATGCAATTCATAATCTTGGAATTTCAGTATTAAAGAGACTTTGAGATCATGTAATCCACCATCTCTCTTCATATGTTTAATTTAGGGAGGATTCCTCTTTTGGAAGGACTTACATTTTACAACATATTGCTCACTTAGACAAAATATAATTTTACCTTTAGTGATATTGGAATACATTTTAAATATTAAGGTTGAATGGAAGTGGCTCCATCTCCTGGAACACGTATTGCCCTTCAGTATAAAGAAATTACGTGGCGAGTATCTCCCCCTGAGATAAAGCTGGGACGCCTCCCACTATTCCTGCGCCTCCTGCTTGCGCTCTGAGCTGCCTGGTATACCTGCTTTCGTGGCTTCCCCTCTGAGACTGAGTCGGTCTTCCCCTTGTCTGGGAGGTAGGGAGCTCTCCTGCTGTCTGAACATGAATGAGAGGAGGAAGTGACACTGGCAGGTGAAAAGTCCAGGGAGAACTAGGGAGAGAAAGGAGCTCCCTTGCCTTCTGTCTAAAACCACTTTCACGGTTGTTTAAGCCTCTGGCCTTCCTGGACTGCATGACAATTTGTAAACCAAAACAGTTTCTTTTATTCAACTCTAAGTAAATGTAAAGCATTTTACTTTGTCTTTTCCTTAAGATGCTTTTTCTGAGACAAATCACAAACAACCCACCCTAGTCGATGTCACTTGTACCCAAGCAAACTCCCTCAAATGGAGTTCAGTGGCTTCAAACGGACTCAAGGAATATAGTAAAAATCAGTTGTTTCCCACAGATGAAGTTAATGCTGAGCGCCTAAGAAATGGAACTGCACTGTATGTAGTTTTCTACGTGGCAGTGAGAATCTCAACCGGGTCAGAATTCCACTAAGTAGAATGAAATTGGCTGATTATTTATATTCATCACCTGTTAACTTTTCTTTATACCTGAAACCTATCGTTACTGGAAAAAAATGGGCAATTATAAGAAAAAAAGTTAATGAGCAAATTCCAAGTCCCTACTGTATCCTAGAGTCTTTCATATACAACGTCTTTATCCTCAAAATCAGGCTGTGAAGGAGGTATTTATTATCTCCATTTTACCCTTGGCAAAATTGAGAATGAACTGTTCAGTTTTCCCAGGTTCACAGCTTATAAGAAGCCGAGCAGAAATGTGAAACCAGGTGTACCGGATTGAAAACAGCCCAGAGAGGTTCAAGTCTTCAGATGTCTTCTCTTAAGGTTCAGGCACTGAGAGAAGAGTGAGCCACATTGTGACTTTGACGTGAATGTATTTCCTTGATTTTGCAGGATGTGAACATCCCTGATCTCATAAAGCAGCTTGATATCTTGGGTGATAATGGGGTAAGTAATGGATTTATTAAGTGCAGTAGAGATATGAATTTGCCTAAAGAGAAGCAGGAAACGCTTACCAATGCAGCAGGTGTGAAATAACAGGCAGGTGGGATGCCACGTTCTCTCAAGGACGTAGCTCCCTGAAGAGAATCAACAATAACTTGGCTAAGGGGTTGTACAGGATCTCTGGAAAGTAGTGGCAGAAATGGGACCTGGTAAAGTGCTTTTCATGGGCAGGTTTTAGGTTTGAATGCGGACCACATCTGCAGTGATCAAAGCTAATTACCTTCTGACTGTTGCCGGGAGGCATCCAGTGTGAAATTAATCAGTCATGCAGTCGCAAATGCTACTAAATAGTAGGGTTGGTGCCAGCCCCATAAAAATGTACCAGGAAACTGTAAACCCTTTTCTTTCTAAAAACACCTTCCAGGCAGGGTCAGGCATCTTAATTCAATGGGAGGACCATTCATTGATACTAGATGAATGACATGTGTAGGTTGAAGGAGTCACACCATTTTTTCCCTTGAAAAATTATCAAAGGAGAACAGAAAGCATTAAATCACTTCAAAGTACTATGAAAAGACTACTATTTATTTCATTTTGGTTTCCGCTTTTCTCATAACATGGCTATCATTGAAGTATGCTTACAGTGAAATACAAAATCAAGTCAGTACCACAGAAATCTAAAAAAATCACAGTTAGTATACTTTTTACCGCTTTTGAATGAACTCTTTGTTAAGAATTTTTACTAACCAGAGCATCTGTTAAGGTTGCATGCATGCACATGCAGTAGTAGTATCTGTGGCAGGCAGTTAGGCAGTATTTTCTGATAGTGTAAATATTGTAAGAGTCTTCAGCATTTTCTTTCTTTTTCACAGAATTTAAGAAATGAAGAACAAGTGGCCATAATTCAGGCCAGCACTGTGCTGTCCTTGGCAGAGAAGGTAATAAATCGTACTAGCACTCAAACCGTCTCATTGTCTGGCTTCACACCTGAAGAGCAGGGTAGGGTTAAAAGACATCCCCTTTGCACATGACTTCCCATCATTGAATGCATAATAAATATCCAGTTTTTCAGGGTGATGACAACCCAGATAGAATAAGAACACACAAAAGTGTGCCTGCTGATTTGGGGTTGGGTGGGGAATTCTTGCTTTGAGGTCTCTTAAAAATGAGAATTCTTAAAAAACGGCAAACCTCCCACCGTTACATTATTCAAGCAATCCGTACCATACTGGGAACCCAGCAAGGAAGGGTTTTGTTGAGAGGTGATGGACTGGAGCCTGGCCTTTTTCAAAGGCTTTTGCCTGGGTGTGTACCTCCCAAGTGTTCCCAGGCGATTCTGTTGGTAGGGGTCCCCGCGGACTCGTTCAGAAAGCCCAACCGGGGCTGTCAGAAGAGCAGTGCGGTGTGCTCTGGGCCCCTGGTGTCTAAATCTGGTCAATGGCAGGTGGAGAAGCCTGGTAACTAGTTGTATTCAGGGGCCTAGTCAGCACATAGTTGGGAGTCACATATACATGGTGGATAAAATGAGAACCCTCAGTTCCCAGAGACACTTACTTATTTCTTGTATGCATAAGGAGCTGGTCACGCATTAAATGAAACCGTGATCAAGCAGGCAGCATTCTCTGATCTGAAACGAGAGAATTCTGTAGATGCAATGAACTGGTTAAGTTCCTCGAACAAAACAATGACATGAAGAAAAAAATGGGGGAGGGAGAGGGAGAGACTGCTTTAAAATAAAAAGTAACTTAAGAAATTTCTAAACGATCCAGTTTTTGGCTCCTGATTCAAGCAAATGAGGTGTGGAAAAAAGGACGTTTTGCTGACCACTGGGGAAATTCTAATATGGGCCAGGTATCAGATGACAAAGGAAATTAATGTTAATTTTGCAAGGTATGAAAAATGGCCTTGTGGTTTTTTTTTTTTTTTGAAAGGCATCATTGTTAGGGATGCATAGTGAAGTATTTATAGGTGAAATGATATCTGGGATTTACTCTTCAAAAAACTTAACTTCTTCTGTGATTTAGTTACAGAATTTATCCCATTCCCTCTCCTCTTCCCAGCAAATTAATAGCACTGCATTGTTCCTGACGGGAGGCCCAGAACCCAGAACTTGGCGAGAAGACCCCTGGGGTCGTGCCCTTACCCACATCGCTGAGCAGCCCACTTCCTTCTCTGGTCACTAGCTAAGGTCCAGCCACGTACAGATCCTTCTGGGGCCCCGTCCTCTCTCTCCTCCTCATCCCCTGGCCCTTTACACTGTTCTCTTTGCCAAGAAGATGTTCCCTTCCGCCCTTTCTGCCTCTGTCTGGCTGCATCTTAACCATTAGACATCCCCGTGCATGAGGACAGTTTCCTCCCCACCCAAGCCCAGTTAAGTGTTCTTCCCTGTGACCATGTGACAGTGGCCTGTGCTTCTGCTACCATGACTTTTAACAACTATAACGCAACTGCCCCAACCAGCCACCCCTAGACTCTTAAGTTCCATGAAGGCAAGTGTGGTTTCTGTTTCCCCTCCGGCTTTCATACCAGTTCCGCTCAGCTCATAGGCGATCAGTGTTCAGTGAAGGAGTGAAGGAGGGAATCTGTGAATGCGAGACACTGTTCCAGTAGCACAAGGATGGAGAGAACACAGCCTGGACCACCAGCTCTGCTGCCTTCACTGGGCAGAGACAGCCGAAGTGTCTCCTTCAGCGGGAGTCATGCGGGGCTATAATTCTTCATTATAAAAAAAGTCACCTTAGTTTAGGGATGCAAAGAAAATGGGCCAATTTTTGTTGAAGGCAAGGGCTGGGGAGGAGAAGGAAAGGATGGGAAAAGGGAGAGTAGGCCTTACCTGCCTCACATTCACTTAGATCCATGGCCAAAAACCTCCCGTCCCCTGCCCTGTGTGCATGTGGTGCAGCCTGAACTGAGTTGTAATTAGTACTCGCACAGCGCTGCTTTTGGGTTTAGCTGTGTACTAATTGCCAGAGTCTTGGTCGGTGCTGTTATTCCCATTTCACACATGAGGAATGTGAGGCTCAGAGACGGTAGGTAAACTGCCCCAGTGACCCAGCTGGGAAACGGGGCAGTCAGGGTTCATGCCCACGGAGTCTGTTTCCGGAGCCCGGGGTCTTCCCAGCCACTGCACCGGACTTCCTCTCCAGCATCCGTAGGAAGAGTAGCCTGTGCGGAGCAGGTGGGAGCTGCACTATTAGAGCTTTGACAGATTCCTTCAGGCTTCCACTCAGCTCCTTTGCAAGGAAGGCGTGAGGGGTTCCGCTGAACAATCACAGGGCAGTGGCTGTGTGCTTAGCCTGCGGTTCCAAGTGAGGAACCGGATGAATGAGACACAGGTGTGTCCTTAAGTGCTCACCATCTGTGCAGTTGCCCTGAATGCAAATCTTTGTGTTTCATTAAGTTAAAGTCAGCTCCTACCTTGGGGGTTCACAGATAAACACTTCTACCTCCAAGTAACTCTAAATGTCAACTTTCAATTTTCTGAGACCACAGATGTGAGTAGCACCCTGCTGTTTGGAAGGGTGGTCGTTAGCCAGAGATCAAACCTAGACAAATTTCCAACAAGCAAATCCTACAGTGACGTTGTATTAAAAAAATAGTGAATGCAGTGGCCTGAAGTGAGATATTATGGGCCAGGAGCTACACTAAGTACTGTGTGTGCCTTATCTCATTGTTCTCCACAACCATCCTATATGCATCCACTACTTTCATTTTACACATGAAGAAACTGAGGCACCGGCTACTGAGTAACGGGTCCTGTGCCGTTCAAGTTGTGGCCGGGAGCCAGCACACGAATATCTAAAGCCCGTGACTGAGCCGCTGCAACTCCCAGCACTCTTAAAAACATGATTTATAAGAGACTGTTTCTCAATGGTGAGTGAGCAGGAAACACGTTAATAAAGCTTCATGGTTTGCAGTTGCAAAATGAGGCAATATACAAGAAACCCAAGACTTCTGGCTGAAATTTGTTCCAGGGAGAAGCCATGTGCAGGTACAAGAATTGGGAGGCCAAGACCCCTCAGGGCTGCCCATGCCTCTTTCTTACCCTTTGTTCCCTGTAGCCAAGGGGATGTTGGACACGGTGCCCCCTGTGAATGTCAAGGTTTTAGTATACAGAAAAATGCTCAGTCTACATGATTCATCACAGATAGAATAAAAAGAAATAGGTGATAGGGAGGCGAGTTCCTGCCTGCGAAAGTATAAAAATAGAAGCTGACACAGAACTAGAATTCATTGAGTGCTTAGTACATACAATATACCGTGAATAGCACCTTATATTAATTATACCCTTTAATCATTACATTATTATTAATTCTATTTCACAAATTAGAAAGTCAAGACGTAGAGGAAATCAGGTCACATTTCAAGGCAACATAGCCATGGAAAGCTAGGATTGAGATTATTTATTATTATGCCCAATTCTCTCTCCAAGGGATAAGCTGACATTTAACATGGTAAAAAGCCATTATAGTAAATTTTTGTATTAAAGCACATATGTAGTAGGCTCACACCATATTATTCAGAGTCTAAATCCATTCAGGGTGTTGATGCAATGCTAACATCAATGCCATATAACAGAGTGATATATTATTCTAAGTGTTAGGAAATATAAATGATTTTTGCGCGCTTTAAAATGTCTCCACTCAGCAAAAGTGAGTCTTCAACACTTTGCCAGAATCAGTTTTATATTCCCAAAAAATGGCCATCTCTCCAGTCTTACCTGGCCTTCTTTCTTTCATCGTGTTTCCTCTGTGTAAGAATCGGCCATCTCTTCTGCTTGGAATTTTGCATAATTTTTGCCTAGTCACCCGTGACTCATGCTTCAGATCCCAGTGCCATGCGATGCTCGCCAGTGAGGGCAAAAAGATGTTCTGTTTCTCCATCGCAGCCCTGGTTCTCCAGCGTGGTGCCTGACGTGGTAGACACTTGGGGTGAGCACATTTGTTGAAAGAAAGAATGCAGGACAGGAGTGAATGAAAACCACAGTCTGGTCTCTGAAATGAGAGATAAAATGCATATGTTTCATGTCAGTTCTCAACCCGCGTCCTGAGACGGAAGGGGCAGAGCCCGGGCACCTCAGTAGACAGAACTATATGCACCACACGAGCAGGCACGTCAGACACTTTTGTCTTGTTTACCCCTTAGTGGATCCAGCAGATCGAAGGAGCAGAGGCTGCCCTGCACCAGAAAATGATGGAATTGGAAAGTGACATGGTGAGTGCAAAGATGAGCACCATAAAAATGAAGAAAAATCGACAAGGCAAATGGAAAATGGCTGTTTCCTTCCAGTTTTATCTGGCACTGGTGGAAGTGGGTAGCCTTCCCATTATCTGTGTACCTACTGTAGAACAAAATTCCCAGAACTTTCCAACAATTTCAAGTAATAGTCTCCAAAAAGATAATGTAGTTTTATAAGATTCCCAAAACTATCACTGAAGAAAATTCAGCCAGGTGTTTTCTTTCTCAGTCAGAACAACTTTTCCACCATATGTAGTTATAGTAAAAATTACAGAAACGATGGGTATAACTCTGATTTTAAGAATTCCCAAGTCACCTCACACCCATAGGATGGCTGCTATTACTAAAACACAAGATAACAAATGTTGGTGAGGATGTGGAGAAATTGGGATTCTGTGTACCCCTGGTGGGAATAGCGTGCAGCCGCTAAGGAAACAGTTTAGCAGTTGCTCAAAAACTTCAAAATAGAATTGCCATGTGATCCAGCAATCCCACTTTACGGTGCATAACCGAAATAACAGAAAGCAAGATCTCCTAGAGGTGTCTGTACACCCATGTTGAGAGCAGCATGATACACAATGGTTTAAATGTGGAAGCAACCCAAGTGTCTATCAACGGATTAATGGATAAACGAAATGCGGCCTGTATATGTAGTGGAATATTAGTCAGGCGTTAAAAAGGAAGGAACTTCTTCTGACACCGAGGCTAAACATGGGTGAGCCTTGAGGACGTTACACTAAGTGAAGTAAGCTAGTTGCAGAAAGACAAATACAGAATGATTTTCTTACAGAAGGTATCTAGAGAAGTCAACCTCTAGAAACACAAAGTAGAATGGTGCCTGTCAAGGGTGAAGAGGGGGAAATGGGGAATTGTTGTTTAAAGGTTAGAGACTTGTGATTTTGCAAGATAAAAGGAGGATTGGCTGCATAACAATGTAGATACCTTAACACTACTGAACTGTACACTTAAAAAGAGTGCCTTTTTCAGATGGTTAATTTTATGTTGTGTGTATTTTACCACAGTTAAGTGTTTTTAATCCCCAAGCCAAGGAATTGGTCATTATTAACTCACAGCAGCAATACATGGAATTTTATAACTGTACTGTAATGAGAATGTTCTTACTACTAAAAAATAGGGAGTGATTCCTATCAGGTGAGGGAATCCTATAATTAGAATAACTTGCATTTACAGAACACACGACAGCATACACATTCTTCACTTATATTTTACACAGGTTTGCATTTTACCAAGAGGTTAGGCTGTAAAGTCAAAGCATGTAACAAGAACAGTTTATATTCAAAATGCCCCCTGAAAACTCTTTAAATGCTTAAACATTACGCCATCAGCCTGTAGCCAGTAATGTTCAGGGTACAGGAGCCCAGAGGCGATCCACCAATTCACCAGCAGCATCGCTGCCTGTTGACTTAGAGGCGCATAGCAGTCCGTGCAATCGAGCTGGCCCCCCGTGTCAGAAGAGGTCCGCGCCCCTTCAGCTAAGCACGCAAAGAAATGATTGACTGTGCTCGGGGCTGTGTTGCACACAGAGATGTATTTCTAAATGTTAATGGCAAGATGCTCACAACATGAAAGGCACACAGAAACCGAGGACAAGCAGGGGACATCGGATTTAAGCCCCCAGCCCACACTGCCTGCGAGGCGAGAGCAGACAGGCTGGACTCGCCCCCCAGCCCCAAACTGCTGTCTTTGTGTTTGCTAATTGTGCACAGATAACTTTGAATAGTTACTTGTTATACCACTCTGCTGTACGATGTTTCATTACATTCTTACAAAAATACTCTATCACCATCTATTTGCTCAGATATACTTACTAGGTAGCACTTACCATGTCAACATCTCTGTCCTTAATCACATACTCTTGGGTTGGCATAAAAATCCTTTAAAGCCTTCTATGTAGATAGTTCATTTCATCCCTTATGCTTCTTTCCATTGATTTTCACATTCCCTGTGTAAGACTATGAAAGCTAAACAGTTTCCCTAACAGACAAAATTTATAACCCTACAAATCTAGTGATTCGTTTTGCGGTGGAATTAGAGAAAACATTAATCAATACAATTTATATATCACTTTCTAGTTAACTAAGCTGACTCACTCTCTTTGTCAATATGGCTCTTCTTTACAGGAACAGTTCTGCAAAATAAAAGGCTATCTGGAGGAAGAACTAGACTACAGAAAACAAGCTCTCGACCAAGCATACATGGTAGGTTCAAGGCGCAATCAAGACACCCAGGGCGCTTACTGTTACAGCTATGGAACGAAGCTTATGTCATGCCACCCACTGGAGTAGACTCACCACCGGAGCTCATTTAGCCAGTGGTGTCCAGTTCAAATTCTAGAGTGAATACATAACCACAGCCCTTTCCTGTTATAATGTTCTTATAGAACTTAATAACTATTTATGCTTCATGCTTTAAAATTAAATGTACGCTGTTATATATAATATTTTAATGAAAGATGGGTTGGGTGGCAGTGTAAATTAAAAAGAAGTTTAATTAAATCCAACTGTTTGGGAGCCTAATCTAGTGAGAAAATGATAAAGTATTTAATGTTTGTTATGAATATGCTATATGCTTACTTCATTTATTTCTCACAATGACCCTATGAGGCATAGGTAATATTATTATTCCTGTATTACGTATGAGGAAATGAAGGCTTAGGGAGTGAGAGAACATCGCCCAGATTGGTGAGCAGGTACTGTTCGGTCTGACCTCAGACATGGTGTTCTTAGCTCTACCATAATCCAGCCACAGTACGTGAGGCTGCAAATGGGCCGTACTTTTTTCTCTCGCACAGAAGAGCATGCTGATGGAGGAGCATATCTGAGCCATTTCCCCTCTACCAAATTCGTAGTACACCATTCCTAATATTGGACTACAGTTTGTAGTTCTTCTCTCCATATGCAGCACCCCCTGCCCCCACTCATTCCCAGTAACGGCTCAAGAGAAAAAATGCGAAGTTAAAAGAGGAACATTTCAAGGAGTTACTAGCAGAGGTGTTCATGATGCTTTCCTGGAAGCAGCCTGAGTCACTTTTGGGAAGAGAATGAAGCACGTCGCCCCTGCCCGTAGCAAAGACGAGTTAGGATGCCCCCTCCAGAGTGAATAGGAGATTCCGAGCCCGGCTTGATGGGAATGGAGAAAATGAGACTTGGTTGCCAAAGAATAAAGGAGGAAGTGATTTCCCTCCCTTCCTGCGTCTATTCCAGCCCCCCCTTACCTGTGCATGATACAGTGACGCTGTGTGTTCAAGTGTCCACCACTGAGCACTCATTGAGACAACTACATTTAATTTTAAAAAGATGTGATCTGCCCAGTCCAGGGCAAGAGCTATGAAAACATCTCTCACCAGGCCATGTCCATTCACCCCCATCAGAGTCACAGGGGATACAATTGTAGATTTTGATAATTGTACCTGAAGCAAGTTAAAAAAAAAAATCTGGGATGTAAGAGCAGTAGACTCCTTTATCTAAGTAAGAAAAAACCATCTGTAAACCTCAGAGAATCACAAACAAACCAGTTCCAAAGGCTATAGGCCATTTTAAGATCAGATTTCCCAATTTTTATTTTGAGCAAAATTACGGAGCCCATAAAGCCATCCTTAAGTACAGAGTCGGGTCGTGTGGAAGATAGGTGGCCTTTTGTGCGTGAAACATGTAATTTCAAGTATTTTAATCCAACTTGGGCCACTTTTTAATACTTAATTCTAAAAGTATGGCCACCGTGATAGATTTAAATGTTTATCAGGGCTGCCAAATGAAGAGAGAGCAAACTTATTCTTAGCCAGCTTTGAGAACAGAAGGATGTACAGTTATTATAACTAAGGGCTCTCTAAAAATGAAAGGTGTGTCAGATGGACAGGATCTTAAGAAAAAAAGCAAATTCCCCACCACAGAGAAGTTCATGTATTGGCTGAGTGACTCTTACAGAGTCTTGTAAGCGAGATCATCAAAAAGGTGGTTAGGCTGAATAAACTTTGGAATTTATCTTATGGTTACAATCCCATCAGGCAAAAATGATACATCCCTCCCCATATACGCACATACATGTATATTTGCACAGCACATATTAGCACCGAGTTCCATCATTAGACTTTTCTAATTCTATCCGCCAGAGAATCCAGGAACTAGAGGCTACTTTGTACAATGCTCTGCAGCAAGAAACTGTCATCAAGTTTGGGGAATTATTAAGCGAAAAACAGCAAGAGGAGTTAAGGGCAGCGGTGGAAAAGCTGCGGCGGCAGATGCTGCGGAAGAGCAGAGAGTATGACTGTCAGATTCTCCAGGAGAGAATGGAGCTTTTGCAGCAAGCCCACCAGGTGAGGACGGAGTCACTGCTTCTGTGTAGGGCTGGGACCCAGGTAAACGGAACTTCCTACTAAGTACGTGGTGCTGATTTTGGATATGCAAAAACCCAGGATCCATGAGCTGTTTTCAGAGAGGAAAATAACTACTGCTTTCCATCCACAGTCCGATACAGGATGGCCGTTGGCAGTGACGCTATGTTATGAAAATCGGTGTTTCGGAAGCACTGCCTGTTGCTGCTGCTTTTACAGTTACCATGGCCGTGAAAGACCCTTTGAATCTCTTGGAGCTTGATTATACCCCCTTCGTGGGGAAGCAGGGTTCTTTCCGGGACAGAAATAACACTTCCCTCCCATTACTCACCCCAGCCCATAGCCCAGCCTGAACAAATAATCTAAATATGGTGAAAGAGGAAAAATGTCTTTCCCTTTATTCCCAGAACAAACAAACAACAGCAAATCCTAGAAGCTGCCGCGTGCTTTCTGGCATTTGCTGTATGTCAGCAACTAAGTAAGAGCTCTGCTGACATCATTTCACTTAATCTTCTCAGTAGCCCACTCAGGTAAGTATTCTTATTAAGAGAGCACGATGCCGAAGAGAAGAGGGTGTAAGTGATTCGCCCACAATGGCAGGTAGGAAGGCGCGGAGCCGGTGTTACCGCCCAGGCCCGGAGCACTAGCCACTGTGCATCCTGTCAGACGTGGCTCGAGTCGTCTGTAATTTATATGATTCATCTAGACCAGCAAGGCTCAAAATACACCCCCGATATGAATTTATAGCCAAGATTCTTAATTCCAACCTCTTAGTTCATGTCATAGCTGGACAGGTGAGAACTAGGGCCCTGGTCAAAAAGCAGATACGTGAGAATTCCATGGTTGAAAGTGCCAACCTATAGCATGGGGCACTCAGAAGCCATAACAAAGAGGTAATGCAGATGGGCTGTATGAGGTGTGAAAATCGTATGCTCCCCAGAGACCAAGAGAGGTGGAAGAGGAACGGGGCTTATTTTATGAAACCAAGAAGAATGATTTATGGAGAAGATAATACTGGGCACACTGCAGATGTAGCCAGGAGCTTGGTGGGTCTTTATAGGCTAACAGATTATCCAGGTTCACAGGGACCTGTGACATCATTCGTCCCAGAGATGATAAATGCGTGCATGCTGTTCAAGGTCTCTGCTGATTCCAGCATAAAAGTATGGGTTTTGACCCTGGAGGGAGTTTTTAAAGCCGTTAATAATAAACACTTTTTAAAAAATCATTTTTAGGCCTACATTACTGCAGGTATACTTCCTTCTGTCAGGGAATGACAGGGTCCCATGCATAAATTTCTTAGGCTGCAGTAGCATTTAATTAATTTCAACAAATCAGGAGTTGTTCCATGGAACCACAGAGGTACTTATTTTTAAGATGGAAAGACAGTTATTTAAATTTCTTTACAAATAAAACTTTGTCATCCCTTTTGAGTCTCTCTTTAATTAGCAAAGGTTCCTCACTCCAAAATAAATGGTTGTGTTTGTTTGAAGTTACCCAGTCAGAGCTGATAGGCACATTACATTTCTAAGCCTGAGAGAGTTCCTTTGACATTTTCTATGTCCCAAACACATATTCATTAAGATCCGCCATTCTGGTGATTTCTGCTTGTCTTCCCTTTCAGTCAGTAGCTTTGACCTGAGAGAATTATTCCAGAAGGCATTGGCCAGGATCTGTCCTGTACAAGGATATTATCCAGTCTAAATTCTTGAGCTTCTCAGTGACCATTTATTAGACGTTTCAGTCTGAGTGTTTCAGAGTGAACTCGTATGAAACACGCCTAATATGCGTGCTTCTCCTGCTTCTCCCGCTTCTCCTGCTTCTCCTGCTTCTCCCGCTTCTCCCGCTTCTCCTGCTTCTCCCGCTTCTCCTGCTTCTCCTGCTTCTCCCGCTTCTCCCGCTTCTCCTGCTTCTCCCGCTTCTCCTGCTTCTCCTGCTTCTCCCGCTTCTCCCGCTTCTCCTGCTTCTCCCGCTTCTCCTGCTTCTCCTGCTTCTCCCGCTTCTCCCGCTTCTCCTGCTTCTCCCGCTTCTCCTGCTTCTCCTGCTTCTCCCGCTTCTCCCGCTTCTCCTGCTTCTCCCGCTTCTCCTGCTTCTCCTGCTTCTCCCGCTTCTCCTGCTTCTCCTGCTTCTCCCGCTTCTCCTGCTTCTCCTGCTTCTCCCGCTTCTCCTGCTTCTCCTGCTTCTCCCGCTTCTCCTGCTTCTCCTGCTTCTCCCGCTTCTCCTGCTTCTCCTGCTTCTCCCGCTTCTCCTGCTTCTCCTGCTTCTCCCGCTTCTCCTGCTTCTCCTGCTTCTCCCGCTTCTCCTGCTTCTCCTGCTTCTCCCGCTTCTCCCGCTTCTCCTGCTTCTCCCGCTTCTCCCGCTTCTCCTGCTTCTCCCGCTTCTCCTGCTTCTCATGCTTCTCCCGCTTCTCCTGCTTCTCCCGCTTCTCCCGCTTCTCCCGCTTCTCCTGCTTCTCCGCTCTCTCCCCACCTGCCTGTCTTGGTCAGTAGAATTTCCAATCCTGGAGCCATCAGGCCGGTAACCCCGGAGTCGTCTTGGTCTTTCTAATAGCTTATGTACATGCAGCTGGCATTTCCTCTGAAATGTTGCCGAAGGTCCATTTTGTCCACATTTGCTATCCCCCCAGACATATGCAGGACGTTTCATTACTGCAACAGCTTCCAGGTGCTGCCACAGGTCCACCAAAGTATCCCGACTCCATCATCTGTGCACTTATCCCATCAGATGTTTAAACACACTTTCTGGACATCAGACACCATGCTAACCATAGAGAATTCACCATGAACTCTGTCTTTACCAGGGTTAGGATCTATAGATGAAGCCAATGGGGATTAACACAAAGAATAACAATGACAATATGTCTTGATAAGTGGCATAAAAAAATCATATTCGGTATGCCATGGGACCTAGCTGTGGGGAAGACTTCTACCTGGCCTCTCGCCAGCGCGTCCTGCCTTCCTCTGTAGACTCTTCTTGCCTTTCCTGATGGCACAGTCCTCCTGCCAAGCCTCCGTGATCCTGTGCAGGTCTCCACCTCCTTCGTCTCTGCCCGCGCAGAGCACCCAGTGCCACTTGGGCCATGACTTCCCACCGCCCCACCTGCGTTTACATGATCACTCACCCTAAGGTGCCTTCGTGTCGGCTGCATTTATCCAGGTGTTCTCATTTTCCCAGCCCAGTATAGGATGCTCTCCCTGATGAGAATAACGGGCCACATGCTACCCAAAAAACCCACCCACTGTGGTACCCTCATTCAGAACCATTTATGGAGGGAGAGCTTGCCTGTGCCAGGGGCTGGGACTGGGGCAGTGGTCAAAGACACAAAGGTCACGCTCTCATCCACCCTGCGGATGAAGAGGGACAGAGCAGCGGCCCAAATGAGCGATGACCGAGGCCGTTTCAGGTAGTAGCAATAAGTGCTCTGAAGAAAACAATGCCATGTGCATTGTGTATGAGTTTGGGAGTATGATTGGCCATGTTAGGCTGGCTGGTCAGAGCACGCCTCTCTGAAGATGTCTAAAACCCAGGAAGCAGCCCCCCAAAGATCTTGGCAAAGTGTCCCAGAAGGCAGGGACAGCAGGGGCGCAGTCTCTACTGTGGGAGGGTCTGGAATATTGGGAGAACAGAGAGAAGGGCAGCACAGCGGGAGCTCACAGGCCGCTCGGAGGTGAGGCTGGAGAGGAAAGACAGGGTGAGGCCCTGCTCGGCCACCAAGGAGCTTGGGCTTCACTCTGAGGGCAACTCCGCCACCTCCTCCCCCTCTCGCCTTAAGCCTTGGGGACTGGGTGATCGTTCCACATGTAAGAGTTCACCGCAGCTGCTGTGGGTGGACAGAGAAGCAGGAAGGGCAGGCAGGACACCGTCACACCTGAGGAGGGCCGGGAATGCCTTGCTGGGCCTGGAACAGCAGAGACGGAAAGCAGGCAGAGAAGGGATCTCCTCCGGATCGACAGGGCTTCCTGTTGGATTGGGTGGCAAGCAGATGGGCAGGGAAAGGAAATAAAACTTGCAGCACACAACATAGCATAACTAACTCATTTAATAAATCTGTGCAGGCAGCTTATTTGTGCTAAACACTTGGTATCAGTGTTTCATTATGAAGTTATACATGGTTTGGCCATTTTACCTTTTCTCCTTAAGTTGTTTTCCCTTGTGCTTTAAATCTTGTCTCCCCATCTGGATTGGATAGTTCTCTGAGGCCAGGGACTGACTGATGCCTTCCCCGTATTCTCTGACACCCAGCACAGGCCTGACCGTGTAAGGTGCCCGACAAGACAAGCGCAGACTTGATGGCTGAATAGGCGACGATGATAATCTCACAGGTCCATGATGGTATCGATATGTAACACCTCATCCAGTAGACGCAGCAAGGAACTACTTGCACACTCACGGGGGGAAATGTCTAGCAAATTTGTTCTTCTGCCGTGAGCTTGGAGCACAAGCAGCGCTATGGAAGTACACACAGGCACACACATCCCACACACACGTGTACACACCATCAGCATTCCAGGCCTGTTCCCTTCTCCAGCATTCATTGTTGCATGATTTCAAGGTCAGCCTGGATGGTCTCTGACCAAAACACACCATCCTCACCACAAACCTCAGCTCCTTTCTTTTAAGGCAGGACTTCTCCGTCTCTGTACTGCTGACATTTGGGCCAGAAGATTTTTTATGGGGGCGTGGGGGGCTGTCCTCTGTATTGTGAGGTATTTAGCAGCATCCCTGGCCTGTTTATTAGATGCTAGTTGCAACCCCACCCCAGTCGTGGCTAGTGATCACATGTGATTCAACAATGTCCAATTAGTTTGCAATGACGGTTGCACGATTTTGTGAATATACTAAAACCACCAGATTGTACATGTTAAAATAAAATAGCTTTCTTAAATGTCCAGACATTGCCACATGTCGTCTGGGGGACAAAATTATCCCCAGTCAAGAACCACTGTTTCAGAAAGAGGAAGAAATGATTTCCAAGTCAAGTATTCTTTTTTTCCTAGCTTCTCCTTTTCCCTCCCTTGCATTATAAAAACCTCTCTTTCTATATTATCATCCCATTTAGCTCCTAGTGTTTTATTCTCAGACTCCAGTTCTCCATTTTTTAGTCATTCCCCCAAAAAAGGCATTGAATAACCAGCGTATGCTGCAGTAACCATGTGTGTAAACGTAAAAGGCCTTTGAATTGCCAGGTAGAAATCTGAAGACTTTTTTCACTTGCAAATTATTGCCTATGTCGATTTCAAATCTGTGCTATTTAAATTACTGGGACTTTGTTATATTTTTGACAAGTAAGTTCAAAGAGTTCTGGAACTTTTTTGTCTTCAGGGTCACTTGTGTGGTTTTCATTGTTTGTTTTTTTCCTAAGTTGTTGGTTCCCTCCTTGGAATTTTTATTGCAGTGGAATCTCTACTTTGTTTTATGGGAATTGGTCAGTGCTGTTTGGGGAGGAAATTCCACCCTGAAACAGAGCTGAAATAAGGTTGAAAAGAAAGTGTAGCACCGACAGTAGGACTGTTTGCATCTGTGCAGGTCAGCTGCAGCCATTTTTGACTGTGGTAATAAACATGCAAAAATCTCAATCCAAATGGTTGCAAAAATGTTTGCTTCCTGCTCAGTAGTCCTGGGACACACTGTTGTCTCTACATTCCAATGCAGCATTTGCACATCTCACCCCAACTCCCATTCCACTGGCCAAACCAGGTCTCAGGGTCAGACCCCCAAGCAGGTCTGCAGGGAAGGGGTCTGCAGGCTGCAGGGACAGACCCGGCAGCAAATTTTCTAAAAAAATACATAATCAATGACAATAATTTTTCAAGTATGGATAATTTTTGAACCATGCCACAATCTTCTGAGTGCGGAAAACCGTTTACGTTTCCCGTTGCTAGTATTAACAGTAATGTTTTTACAGGAAGTTTCGTGTTTTACGTTGGTGAACAATCCTCTTCTCAACACCTACTAATGCTTGCTTTTTTTTCCCTTCTTCAGAGAATTCGTGACTTGGAAGATAAAACAGACATCCAGAAAAGACAGATAAAGGACTTAGAAGAAAAGGTATGTGTTAAGTTCAATATGTATGTACTTCAACCATTTTTTTTTTTTAGATGAGAAAATACTCTCAGTTTTGCCCACTGTACCTTCTTTGCTCTCAGTTATTTTGTACCTGGGTAGGCAAGTGCGTTACCGTAAATGTAAACAGGACCCAGCAGAGGTTCTGCCTTCAGCCTTGGCAGGTTTGCTTTTGTGCTGATTCCTATTCTTTCCTAGAAGGGTTTTCTTTCCTCCGTTTCCCTTCCCTCAACTTCAGCTCCTTTCCAAAAGTTTCTTCTGAGTTTTGTCACTCTGCTTTTTCTTTTCAAAGTCTTTTCAAAAAACGTCTTCCCCCTTATTTCTCATAAAAAGCCCTTTCTTGTTATGCTGCCGTTTCCAGATCGGTTTATGACCATTTTGCCCTTGTGTCGCTGCCCCCCGTGGTCTGAAAGAGTAACGGCCTCTTCCACGCCAGCCAACACTTTTTTGGGTAAAGCATAGAAGTTCTTAAAAAGGGCATTTGAAAATGTGTGTGTGGCAGGAGAAGACAGGGCTCACGCAGGGGTGCAGAGCCAGCTGCAGGGGTTCAGCAGCCTTGCACCACAAAGAATCATCCCGCCAGCAGCGCCGGGCAGGGGGCACCCCACGCAGGAGCACGGGCGTCAGGGCCGGGTTGGGGTGCAGGTGTCAGGGCCGGGGATGGGGGGCACCCCACGCAGGAGCACGGCATCAGGGCCGGGTTGGGGTGCAGGTGTCAGGGCCGGGGATGGGGGGCATCCCACGCAGGAGCACGGGCGTCAGGGCCAGGGGGCGGGGGGGCACCCCTCGCAGGAGCATGGGTGTCAGGGCCGAGTTGGGGTGCAGGTGTCAGGGCCGGGGATGGGGGGCACCCCACACAGCAGCACGGGCGTCAGGGCCGGGTGGGGGGCACCCTGCGTAGGAGCACAGGCGTCAGGGCCAGGGGGCGGGGGGGTACCCCTCGCAGGAGCACCACAAGGGTGGCCAGAGGTTCTGCCTGGCGTCCGGTCTGATTGACCGCAAGGAGCTGCGCGGACACCTGTGTCGCACAAGGACGCGGCTGCGTTGCAGTTTTCTCCCGGGGAGCAGAGAGCAAACCCCCTGCCGGTTCCGGGACGCTGGGCGCGGTCCGCGGTGGGCCCACCGGCCGCCTGGATCCTCACGGAGGCTGTGCGTCCACCAACCTGCCGACCATGGGTGGTGCCCCGCCTGCCCGGGTCTCAGCTGCACCTGTAAAGGGGGCACAGCGGCACTCACCCCCCCTCCTCTCGGGGTCTCCGTGATGAACAAATGAGATCACCTGTGTGAAAATTAGGAAACACTAGGAGAGCATAAGTTAAATTAAAAAGTATACTTTTTTGAGTTTCCAAATGTGAAGTACATGCCCTCTGCAGAATTTTAAGCTTGAATTTCCCTCATTTTGGAAGTGTGCCCTTTAGTTCTGCAGACTGAAGAGGCAGGGGTGAAGCGCAGGGGGCCGAGGCCTGGGAGTCAGGGGTCTTTCCACAGCTCCCCCGGCGGGCAGGGGACACACCCGATGTCGGCCACCTTCCCCGTTTCTGGGTGGCCGTCTCTTGGTTCTCGCCCTTCTCTCCGATGACTCTCGAGCAGCCCTGGGGCTGGCCTGGGCAGGAGGGCACGGTCGGGACAGGGCCCAGGAACCTGAGTCCAGTCCCCGTTCAACCGAGGACAAACAAGCCCCAGAAAGGGGAGTTTTGAAGTACCTGTTAAGGTCACCACCCTAGCCATTCTCTTAATAAGCCCCATGGAAATTCTGGGAGAAAGGAGATCATGTCCACTGTCAGAATTCTTTGTGAACTTTTCATTTTGCAGGTCTGAACTTCCTAAACATTTTTGATAATAGGGTAATGTACTTAGTAGAAAATAAGGATTCTTTAGCTACCAAAGTAGCGTGTTCCACATATTGTAATAAATTATGCCACTTCAAGCACAGTCTCTTTGGTTTCTGATTAGAGATTCAAATGAGAGATGGGGTTTATAATGTACCTCCTATTTTCACTTGACCTCAGTTCTGCTCCCCGATAGCCTAGTAAAAAGGTTAAATATCACTTACGTCAGAAATACTCTTCATTCTTTCCCTTGGGGTACCTGAACACCCACTGAGGGGGTGCACAATATTCCTTCTCAGTTCCTAACTTCCAGGGTACAAATCAGGTAATAACCATAAACATAGCAAAACTGCTTCAAATGTGTGTACCCAGATCACTGCTGTTTTCATCATCTCGTTTGATTCTCATAATTATTCCATGAGACAGATACCATGCATATTATGATCCCCTTGTATGCAGATAATAAAACAATGGCCCAGAGAGATTAAACAGCTTTCCCAAGACAGTATAACCAGTCTGTGGCAAAGCAAGACCAGAGGTCAGGGTGTGTGACTCCAGGTGCCACTGTGCCACCACATTACAGGACTAAGGATCTCATCGCAGAGTAAGTGATGGGCATCTCCTGGTGCCCAGAGAGGCAGCACTGATACGTGGGCTTCTCACAGGAAGGGTGGAAGCCTTCCACACCTGTCTTCTTCATCCTTTCCTGCTATGGGTGCATGTATCTACCATCTATTTATCTGTATATTAGTCTCCATCTTCCTGGGATAAAAAAAAAAACAAGAGTTTCTGCCTTTCAGGCAAATAGAATGGTCCCCAGCACAGGGCTCTTAGCACCATATTTATAACTTGTTCAGACAGTTTTCCAATAATGAAGCAAGAGCCTTCTTTGTAAGCAGTGGCATTAAAGGAAACCTGCACACAGCATGTCCAATATGAGCATGACGTCCAGGCCACTGATTCAGAGACGCCACGCCCAACGGAACGCCCCTGAAGCGTGAGAACAAGGCAAAGACTTTGTGACTCTGTAAACCACCAAGGAAGCTGGCGTTTGAAAAGGGTGACGTGGCCTGTGACCTTTCATGACCAGTACACCGTTGGTTATATACCAGGGGTACACAAACACGTGTACCCAAGTATCTGCTCCTCTGCTGAAGGTTCTAGTTGAAGACAAGCCAGACTCCGTTTAACTTCAATGAGTCAAGTAAGGAGAGATCTTATCTGGGAAGCATGACTGGCTGCAACAGCCTCGCACGTTACCTGAAGTGCCCACTGACGTGTAAGCATGTTGCATACCACACCTCCTCGATCATCAGCAGAGACCCAGGCGGTACTTGTTGCCTTGATGGATTCACTAATGGTGTCCCATTTCCCTCCCAGAAGTGTCCCATTATGAATTTACCATATGTTTACCCTACATGTTAATAGTCTTCCTACTATGTCTTAGTCCCAAAACCTATCGCATTAACCAAACAATGATAGCATTGAGTGATTAAGTGCATACTCTGATCATATTTTTGTATTTTTGAAATACCTTCCCACACATTAGAAATACAGACAATAATATATAATGGAGTAGGACTCAGGAGGTCTAAACTCAAGGTTTCACTATGCCATGAAAAATATCAAGTAGGCTATTAATGAACTATCCTGTGCTTATTTTTCTCACTTACAAATTTATCCTGTGCTTATTTTTCTCACTTAACAAATTTAGACTGATTTTCTATGAGACCCCCTCAGAGTTCTAAAATGTATGAGTTAATGTTAGTTGAACACTGGTTATTCATTACATTGCTTTGCCAGCAAATAAAGAAAAGATACGGGTTTTTTAAACAAAAAAGGTACTTGGTGTGTATGTGAGAAGCGGTCAGACTTGAGCGCTGTGGAGAAGCTGAGGTGTTGTACTACCTGAATGGCACACAGAACTTCAGATTTACATGATCTTCTTCTTTTTCTTCTGCAGTTTCTGTTTCTATTCTTGTTCTTCTCTCTTGCCTTTATTCTCTGGCCTTGATGTCAAGGAGCCTCTTAAAGGTAAGATCCCATTCAATTCTCAAAATGTGATTCTAAGAGCTGTCTGATGGGAAGGATGCCACATACGGTTACCCGTACACTTGGTTTGGTCAGCTTACGTGCCACAAAATGAGAACAGATCCAATCCACTCGGGTGATTATTAAAGAAACACAGCAGCCACGAAGTACGATAGAAATCAAGAATTGTTTTAGTTACCTGTATTGCTTCAGGAAGCCATGACACCTGCGGACCTCAGTATTCTCATTGTAGTCTGTCATGACACAGAAGGGGCTGCTTCTAGATCTGCAAAGTGAAGAAATAAGGATATTTTTAGTTCGCCTTTCTGCTTGAGTATTCTGACTCTGTGAATCTAACAAGATAAAAATGACTAATAGTTTTTAAGGCTTTTCCTAGTCCATCTTCATCAGAACTCAGGAAAGTAGGCTATTCAGTGAAAATGTATCTTATTTTCAAATAAGGGGATTTTAAATCCCAATTTAGAAAAATAAGTCTTATTCTTACTAATTTGTAAAGTCCATGCCTCATGAATACATGTGTAAATAATCCCAGCCAGTGATTCCCAACGCTATTAAAAATATAGATCCCAGCCCCTTGCCTCCAACTGAATGATTCAGCTTCCTGGAGATGGAGGTGCATTCGAGGACAGGAGAAGAGGAGAGCAGGGTTGGTTTGTATTCTGCCAAGCACACCGAGTGACTCTGATGTCTAACCAGGTGCATTAATTTCTCCCCTGGACACTCTTAAACTCGTGTGCCCCACACAGCAGCCCGCGTTCTGGGAAATGCAGATCTAATCACGCTCTTTCTGGGAAAGCATCACCATATATATGTGTTGACTCCCAGTTCCGTAGAGGGGCCCACAAAGCCTGTATGCCCACCTGTAGGCAATCCCCTCGTGCTGCTGCAGGACCTCCCCGGTGAGCCCTACTCCCCCTGCCTGCCCCAGGGTCGCCCACACAGTCCTGTACACAGAATACTTCCCCCTGCCCACCTGTGACCACCTGCTCCCTCATCCGTCGGATTTCAGCTCACCCGTGATGCCCTCAAAGAAGTCTTCCTTGATTTCATCCCCGGCCGAATTGCTCATACATTTGGATTACTTTGTTTGTTATTCTGTTTGTGTTTTAATTAATGTCTCTCTCCCTCGTTGTATATAAGGTTTGTGAGAGCAGGGACCCCACAAGTTTCCTGTACCTTTGTCACCCAAATACCTAGGCAGTGCCTAGCACATAGTTGACAATCTATAAATACTTTGTTAATGATAGTGATGATATTATGATAAGGAAGAGGACATACTGTTTTACAGCTGAAAAAGCGCATTTCATGTCCATTATTTTAGTTCATATTTACAATGACCCTGCAAAATAGATACTGTTATATCTCTCCAAATATTATTTCCTTAATATAAAAAATTAGCAAGTAATAGCAATTTTTCTGAGAATTTATTGATAATATATAATTAAATTAACCAACATAAGTACCAGGCACATAGAAAAGCTTATTAAAAGCCAAGTTCTGTGGCCACCTCTGCCACCCCCCATCACCTGGCTAACAGCCATCTGTCCTTCCCGTCTCAGTGTAAAATCAGGGACTCAGGCAGGCCTTCCCGGTCCGCTGGCTGCAGTGAGGTTTCCTTCAGTGTCACCTGTCTTCCTCACTCGGGTTCCCGTAGACCAACTACCTAACGATCTCAGTGTCAGTTCCCTGTAAGATGCAGGTAATGATAACAGCTACCATTTGCTGAGTACTTCACCATATGCTAAATGGCGTATGCGGGTTGACAGAATGCAGGGTTTCGGGAATGGCCCTCAGGGTTTCGGACGGCATGACTGGTTGGATGGCAGTGCCCTTGACGGAGATTCGGCAAGCAGGAAGGGGGAATGGCTGCTGTTCATGATTTTTGGTTATTTGTGGTAACTAGAAAACAGCAGTTAGCCACTGTTTATCACTCAATATGCCTTTCAATATGCGGTCCATAAAGCATCTAAACCACTCCCAGCAGTTAGAAGACCCTAAAGAACAATGAACATAATTAGCCTATCAATTGATCTCGGCAAATATTTGCTAAGTGTCTTCTATGAGCCAGGCAGTGTGGTCGATAGACTGTCAGCCACACGTCAGGCACGACACGACTGTGCTACTTCACTGAGAGCCTGGTGGCATGTAGTAATGCTGAGAAGTGCCACCGAGGAGCGAACTAGAGCTCAGGGCTGTAAGCGACCCCTTCAAAAGCATCCCTGAGGTTCTGCAATATCTGGAAGGGCCTCTGAGTCAGAGGTGGATTCATGCTCTGTACAGTTTGAGCTCGAGTGTACTGACCTTAGCTCATTGAAAATTGAGCTATGGGCATCTGTGGTGGCCTGTTGGGTGACACTTCAGTTTTTCAAAAGGCCAGTCTAAATAAGTCTGGCTTTATGGTAGAAATCCTAGCTCCTTTTACAGATACTCAATTCACAGAGACTTAGCATTCTGGTGGACTGCCTCTAAGTCCATTTGTTTTTTAAAACCAACATGGTTTTATTTAAATAATAGGCTTTACTTCAGTCATGATTTGTGCTTTGTAACAGAATTTAGGATTTATCTCTGAGAGTGTAAGTTGAAAGTTTACAAGTAAAAGACATTTTGTTTTTACATACTTATTTTATATATATATGTGTGTGTGTATGTGTGTATGTATATAAATAGATAAATAAATGCCCAATATATGTGTATATGTATTTATTATAAACACACACCCTCTACGGTGTCTCTTACATACATTCAGATCAGTTCTCCTTTTTACCCAGGAATCTGGGCTATTATGGTTGTAACTGGTTTGGGGGCCTTTCATCTCAGTGGGGTGTAAAGCTGAATGCCATCTACTTTTCTCAAAACATGTTTTTTTACTCAGGTTCTGCCTTATTTCCATCTCTGATCTTTTAATTAAATCTTAGGTCGCTGCCCCAATTTTTTACTCACTTTCAATCCTTGAGAGGCCAGCCCGTTTTAAAAGCTCCATCTCAGACTCGGTTTAATGTCGTCTCTTCCCTTATCGGCGGTGAGGAGGCCGTCACGGCCCGGCTCTGAGCATGGCCCCTTGTCCTCCTCGAAGGTCAGCTCTTCTGGCGGGCAGGGGCGCGGGGAAGGGACGCGTGCCTCCCCCTCCGTGGGCAGCGGTCACCGCCCTCCTGCTAGTTGGTGCCGTTTCTCTGCCCACTACTGACCAGTTCTTGATGCTTTTCTGTGAGAGGCCATTAAGACTGGCTAATAACTTGTTCTTGCAGATACAGCAGGAAAATGGAAACCCCATTTCCTCCATCCATGTCATTCAAACTCTAAAGGCCATGTCCTTAAGCACACATGGTAGCATGTCCTCTGTGCCTTTTCCAGCTTTTATTGGAAAAGAGCATTCCTTCCTAAGCTTCTCTCCGAGTGGAAGCCCAGGCACTTGAACTTAAAGAGGAGCAGGGCTAGGAGTCCTGCCTGGCAGCGCCTTCTCAGGGACATCTCTGGGGCCAACCAGGAAACCTGTGGGGCAAAACCCCCTGGGAGCCTCCAGGTCGGGACCTGAGAGCTAAGTCCACCTGCGTTGGACACAATTGTTGGGGAGGAAGTGTAACATGAAAGTTAGTCACGGAAGGACAGAGGGACAGAGGCAGACCTGCTTTGAAAATAATCATAAATTGATTTTGGGGCATAATGATTCAGTTGAGCTCCTTAAAGCATTGTTTTGGAAGGCTCCAGAGGAGGAGTCATTAATGATAATAGCTGACATTTCAGGCCACTTACAATGAGACAAGAGTTACTCATCATTCTGTATGTATTATATTGCATCAATTCTTAAAATAGATACTTATATTTTCTCATTTAAAATTAAAGTAATTAAGTTTAGAGACTTTATATAATGGCCACAGGATTATACACCTCAAAGATGTGGTTAAAAAAATTTTTTTTCTTAAAAAAAGTTTTTTTTTCTGTTTTAGCTGTTGACAGAAATGATGATTTAAAAATTTTCCCTCTGTTTTACAGAGCAACCGAAAACACAGAGAAGACCCCAGAAAGGCAAATGGTTCTAAACCTTCAGAGATGGCAGAGATGTTTACAGCAGAGAGACGAAGGGCAAAGGCTAAGAACTACACTGTAGCCGGGACTACAAGTGTGTATTTTAAAGCCATTATTCAAGGTTTCTTACTTGACAGTTCCTACACAACCCTGTTGAAAATCTACAATATATGCTGCATTTAAGGAAATGTGTATATGTCAAACCAGAAGAAAAGAACCATAAACATGTATTGTGTAAAGGAAAAATTCAGCAATGGAAACAGTTTCAGCAAATCAAGCAAAGATGTGTCTTGGGCATGGAACCAAAGTTACAAAGAAACATTCTACCCCTGCTGTGCAGGGGGGGTCATTTTAATGTAACGCCACACCCCATGGAAACACTAGTCCTGAAATAAACATCATTTTAAAAAATCAAAGCAAAACAAACAAAAAAAAATCAAAACAAGGGTGGGTGGGGAATGAAGCACGAGGAATACCTATGAGGAGCTATTTACAATAAAATATTTCATTTGAAAAGTCTGGTTTCTTACTACAGGGATTTGCTTCTCTGTCTTTAATATTGTTTAAAACTCAGGAACAGAGACACCCTCCGTGTGTCTGGGAAGAGCGGCAGGTCCCGTCTGGCTGGTTTTCTGCAGAAGGCAGAGCTTGTGGAGAGCATCCCATGGATGACAGACGAGATGCGGATCACAGTGACTCCGACTACCGGGTATCCAAGGCAAAGGACCCAGGCGGATGTAACATAAGAAGTCGAAGCAGGTTTGACGCTTCCTCGGCCTTCTGTCGCCTCTGTGTTCCTCCACGAACAGCAGACGGATCTCATTCATATTGAAAATCAAGAAGATGATGCTCTCGATCGCAAGCTCCCTGACGTGGCTCTGCTTCGAATGCCAGTGTCGATAGGGAACGTGGGCCAGAGAGCATCTCTGAATCTTTCCATTTTCAAAAATACTGGTTTTCAAATGGCTGCTTAAAATTGCCTGCAAATAAATATATGATTTGAGTAAAAACACAGTAGAGGCGATAAGTATCATTACCAACAGTTGAATTTGCTACAGAGCTGTGGATATTAAATGAATTTAGGTTTATTTTTTAAAGTATCCTGATATGCCTAGAACATTCTGACCTCTTGTCATTTAGACTGATAATATTTTTTTTTCTCAGAGAGCTGAGAGCCACAAGGTAGCTCTACTTTTTTATAGAGAAGTAACGGTATGTTACTGATAAGGTCATTTTCTAACAGAGACAATTAGAAGACAGCTACTTTTCCTAAGTTACGTAATACTGAGTCTGGGACTCCGCTCTGAGAGCAAATAAATGTTCCTGAAAAGCTAATTTCACACCTCATTTACCGTCAATAACAGAACAGCCTCAACTTTTCCAATGGTTAAGGTTTTATTTACAGAGCTAGAATTCCCATGTGTACAGACTGTGTGTAGGGGCCCTGAAGCTCTATGAAATGCTACACAAATCCTTCCATACGTGACTTCAGCATCTTAGTCTTCAGGTGTCGCACTGGCATTGACCAAGCCAGCACAGTAACTGGAGAGAATGTACAAGAAAAGCTAAGGGCTGGGGTCCCGTGTTTTGTTCTATTTACTGCTGACCCAGGTATCTTTGGCCCAGTCACTGAACCTCTCTGTGCCTCAGTTTCCTCATGTGCAAAATGAGGTTAAAATGCTTTTGCATAAAAGGTTGGGTTTATTTGTTGTTTTGGTCGTTTGTTTTTGTTTCTGTTTTCTGCAATTCTGGAACATGAGGTGCTTAACATAGCATGAAGTGCTTTGTATTCATTATAACTGCTGTATTATTTGAGACTTCCTGGTTGGGAAAAAGTCCCCTAAGTCATAAAATAGTGCTACTGTTTGGTTCAATCTAAGCACTACAGCACTGAGGCTTTCCCATCAAACTACCTGGGACGTGACTAGCAATAAGGATTGGGAGGTCCAGGCCAGAATCTCTAATAACCTCTAGGGAATAGATCATCCCATGTATTGAATAAGAAAAATGTGTCACTTCGATTAAGCATCTCCTAGCTCTCCGTATCGCCTATGCATGCCAAACTACAGACTCCAACCAGGAAATGAAATTAAGGCTTGGTATGAACTGATAGTATCACATAATTAGTCCGATTGTCCCATTCATTTTGGGAGAAGGTTTGGGTGGTCAGTTCTACTGGGAATATACAGAATAACTACCCTACTGCTGAATTCTTTGTTGCCCTGGCAAAGTTCCATAGTAAGTATGCGTAGTATGTTCATCGTGCAGGCAACCCATGAAATAGGGTACCAGGACCATCTAGGAGGAAACCCCTTCAAACCTCACTCAGAACACAGAGAAGAGGAAAAGGGGTGCCGGGGAGACATCTCCCACATCTCCAACTTTCTCTGCCATTGTTCATGGGCCATTCCAGGGTCCAGCTGAGCAAAATCGCATACCATTCATCTCACCAAACCTACTTTTCTTCTCTTCATCTTGCTTTCTCCACCAAGAAACTTGTAAGTTAAATTTTATATCCAAGCACTATGGCTTAAATGATTAAAAACAGTTGTTAAAATAGTGTAGTTTAATCACATGCCTTATCTGCTGTAAATGTGGTTGTATCATAGGGGAGCCATGACGGCTGGGATGACCATGTATTTAAGCAGCTTTAGGTATGTTTGAGGCAAATACGAAAGGAGAGAGTCTCTTCACTCAAGATCTAAGAGATTAGCAAATTTCCCTAGATTTTAGGCTAAAAGGTGATATTTTGACCAAATCTTACTCATAATCCTCAATATTAACATATCATTAAATAAGACTAAATATTTTGACAGGTCATCTCTCTATTACCCATTTCCACAAATATAAAAACATTGGCAAAATTGTAAATGTTGTCTCAGTGACTCATGGACCTAGGGAATGGCTCATATGTAACTGAATGCTTTCCTTCGCATAGGATGTTCAGCAATAGTCAAAAAGAGCATCTCAGTCATACGGAGAGGTTTACTGGGGCTTTGTTTCTTACAGGGAGTAGATAACCCCGACTCTGATCTTTAATTTCTGCATCTTAACTATCCTAATACATCTGGCCAATGAGTCAATAGCAATCAGAACAGCATTCTTCAACACAACAGAATTCTTCAAGATTCACTTAATTTTTTGTAACAAAGGATTCATCTCTGGGGAAATACAACTGACAATACTAAAAAATAGTTTGAGATAAAATGGGAGCCACAACTTAGCAAAGTTATTTTGGACAGGAAAATTTTCATGAGAAAGGAAAAAGAAACAGGTTACCTTGGACTATAAGACTAGAAAGTACTTATTAAAACTAACTTTTTTATATAATGCCACCCAAGTTTTATTTCAGGAAACATTAGAACTTGCTAAAAATAAGTACCAGATCCCTTTTAACCCATGTGATATAAATATTGCCAATAGTGAGGTTTTAGGGGTGGAAGAATAAATTTTGCTTTGGTTTTTTCTTCCATTCACAAAAACACAGAATGGCATTGTTCTTCAGTAGGACAGAGAGGGTGCAGAGATCTCACGGAGTAGACAGGGGATGTTTGCTCTCAATTAGTAATAGAAGAAATAAAGTTTTGCCAAATCATTGTTACTATGGTATTTTATTTCAACTTTATTTGATCAGTTTAAGATAAATCTCTGGCAAACTTGTTCCTTTTGCCTATTTATTGTCACCTTTTTCTGTAGACCCACTGTGTCATTTGTACAATTTCCTTGATGTAATTTTTACGTTCACTGTTTTAAAGTGAAGCATGCTTTTTAACCTGCCTACATTTTCATGGAAACTGTAAAAATAATAGTCATCAGTTTTGTACTGATGTTTCAATAACTGGATCATGTGTATTATGTCAACATCAAAATAGATGGACAGCATAGACATTTTATCTTTTAAATATTTAATTGCATTTTTTGACCTGTCAGTGGCACAAAAAGTATATATATATATATATATAATATATATATATATATATGCTTATGTATGTATGTATGTATACATATCTACTGTATTGAAAACGTACAGTGTAGCTTTTGGGAGGTCAGTAATCAAAGGAAAACAGAGATGACTGTTTATGTCATGAATTAACGCATCCAGGATGGGTTCAAGCCTCTCCTTAAATGGACTTCCACTTTCTAAAGGAAAAAAAGGAGGCCCCAAGGTCTTGAGGGACAAAAGCTTACATTCTTGTCATTTCTATATTGACATAGTGTCTTGAGACTGAGTTTCAGGCATATTGGCCAAGAGGACTCAGACATAATAGAAGGTAGGAGCTGACCCTCTGCGATGCCATTCCCATCTTGGGCAGGCAGATTCACATTCCCTCGCTGCCTTGAGTTGGGCCGTTTTGTTCCTTCTAAGCAAATCTGCTGTTGAGAATGCAGGTCCACTGTTGAATCAAAATTACTGAGGACAAACTTCAAGGGGCAATGTGGCAAAAATAGAAGGATGACAATTGGCTATATTCAACCTATTGTATCAAACCCAGAGGTATAGTTGGTTGATTGGGGGAAGTTCCCTGTTTTTGTCTTTGTGATTTTTGCATGAGGTCTTGGTACCTATGCTTATTATTTCCATCCTGGTTACATCAAATTTCCGTAGGGTGGGAATGGTATAGATAAACAACTCTGAGTCCCACCTTACCTACAATCAGAACCCCATCCACAGACCCGCTGAAGTGTGGAGGATGCACTTTCCCCTAAGCTGGTCCCTGCATCCACTTCCATTTGTTCGATTAGTCATGCATGTTTGATTGTAATCTCACAAAATGTGCCTACTTTCCCCCATTAACCAGAACTTCCCACAGTGAGACAGATCAAAACCCAAACACTTTTATAAATATGTGATGTGCATATCTACACATGTGTAACCTGTACATAGTGTGATGGTGTGAGGGCTTCCTAACTGTACTTGTGTCCTAGGGCTGAGGACTTCAGGGAGGGTCTCTGATGCTGCTGGTAATTCATGTTTTTGTCTAGCATCTGCTCTCTGTGCTTCCCCTCCTCGCCTGCCTCTTCCCCTTCCTCCCCTACCTTTTGTCCATTACTACTGTCTGTTATTGGTTGAGGCAAAGAACTGCACGTGAGCTTTCCAACTACCGGGGCTCATAAACCAGCCTTGTAGTGATGCCAAGTGTCTCCTGGGAGGTGCAACAGGAAGTCCAGCATGATCCACAGTATTAATATTAGTCAAAAGTCCCATATTTTTATCAGCTAAAAATCCCATTTCAGGAAGGTTCATGCACATTTTAACCTTCTAGATCCGGTTCCCAGAGACTCAAGTACAGAGCCCATGCATCTGAACACCCAGTTCCCCAGATGTCTACTGTATGTGTGTGGCCAGGGGGCCAGTTTCTCAGAGCTCTCATCCAGGCACCTGCTTCTGGGGTTCTTCCCATTTCACGAGCACGACTCCGCAGACGGCCTCACTGCTTGTTTATTGCTAAAAGAAAACTAAGTTGACTGAGTTTCACCAGGATGGTCTTATGACGTATACCCGACATGTACATGTACTGTATGTATTACCGAGGAGATTGGAATCAACTTTCTGTATGTAAAATTTTATGAATGGTTATTTTATAATTTCTGTATTTAATATAAGAATCAACGAGCTCTGGTGTTTTAGTTTATATAAAAATAAAACAAGCTACATTTTTTTTTTAAAGTCATAGTTTGTGTTGTGTTTTGTTTCTTTCGAAAAAACAGGGTGAGGCAAATCAGGGCTGTATGTGTGATGTCCGGGAACAACGTGTCCCTCAGGAGAGTAAATAGGTTCCTTCTCCTATGTCCACTCTGGATTCTTCACCGCGCCTGCCAGCGCACTGCGGCGGGGAGTCAGAAGCAGGACCTGCGCTCAGGAGGAGAGAACCGCGGCCATTAGCAAGCCTGCTCTGAGCGTAGTTTGGGAGATTATCTTGACAACAAACACTACTTTTCTCCTTTTATCCACCTGCCTCCTTTCAGCACCTTCGTAGAGCCACTAGATGTGACAAGTCCGCATGTAAGTCGTGTGCATCCTATGTGCCCATCCCTGTGGCTAGGCGCGCATGGCTCCAGAGCTCACGGCGCAATGAGGGAAACAGCTCATACACACTGAAAAACACGAACCACTATGGCGCAATATGATGTAGTTTGTAGGTCTCTGTTGAGAACTACCAAAAAGGTTCTTATGGGTGGGCTCAAAAATCCAGACTAAGAAAGTTTTTTTCTTTGATTGTAAGCTCTTGTCTTTAGTGAAAAGCTAATTACCATTGCTCATCAGTTCATTACCATGTTCTGTTACCCATTTACAGGAACCAGTGATATGCCACATCCAATCCTTAAAACAGAATAATAAGACAAGATGTCACCAACTACACTACCTGATGAAGACTTACAGCCGACTGAGTCTCTGTGAGAAAGGTACCAAACGTACGGGGCAGGCCACGAAACAGGCAGTTAATGTTATGGATTTTCATTGTATAAATGAAAAGCTGTGTTTTGATGAACTCCAGTCCTGGTATGTAACTCAAACATGCCATCAGACCAGTGACTCAAACGACTGCTAGCTCCAGGGAGGAGCAGCCCAGTGTCTCTGGAGAAGCCACGGGGGGTGAGGGAACACTTGCTACCCCTGTGCCCCTGAGATATGAAACATCCGTGAGGCCCACGCGGAGCCCACAGGGGGTTCCTCTGCCCGGCTCTGGACACGGCGCTGCCTCTGACCTGCAGGTGAGGAGGTGCGGTCACAGAGGGCGGATGTGGGGTTATGTACTAACCTACCCCGTGGGTAAAGATTCGTGTTGAATAGCTGATAACAAAAGCTTGTTTTATTTAAGCAATTTTGTAGTGATACATGGAATGTAAGGGTGAATTGTGACGGCTTATTTTCTCGCTGAAAATGATCCAAATAAAAGTCTGTTTTCAACAAATTATTTTTTTGCATGCCATTGTATTTATAAATACGAAGGCATTAGTTTTTATCAAAAGGCTCTAAAACAAACAGCCATTGGTAACCGGTGCCTGTAATCACTGTAAAAATATTGAGGACAAGGGCCCCTACATCCGTGTCATTTATGTCAAGCTCCACAGGACGCTTCTTTTTTAGACTCGTGGAGGAGGAGGAAACACAAAACAAAATAGCAACTATCTCAGGAACTCCATGTTTTCCCTTTATAATAAGAGATAATTATGTGTAAATTATTTTGCCCTACCTAGAAATGCATGAACAAATTTAATTTTAATTATAGCATCTTATCAATTCTTTCTGTTTTCATTTTTACTTTACTGATTTTATGGCTTTACCTTTAATTTGCTCTGATTTTTGCCTTCAATGTATACCACCTCAAATCTATTTTTGTACAGCCACAGGATATAAATTCAATATTTTGAAAATGCACATTAAATATTCTTAGAGCTGCTATAAGAAAGTATGTAGAAAAATATTCAAAACTCAGTAATTTGCTCTGATTTTTGCCTTCAATGTATACCACCTCAAATCTATTTTTGTACAGCTACAGGATATAAATTCAATATTTTGAAAATGCACATTAAATATTCTTAGAGCTGCTATAAGAAAGTATGTAGAAAAATATTCAAAACTCAGAAATAAGGCAAAATGGTGATTGTGTATATTTATATTTTCACTTTCTAGTGGTTTCTAATGTGCCAGTTGGAAATGCAATAATTAATAAGAGCCCAGATGTTTACAACCTGTAAAGTTAGAAGCTGACTTACAGAAAATAGATAAGGTGTGATGTACTTTTTGTGTGTGTGTGTGCTTGAAAGTGAAAGAAAAACCCAAATATTGGGGTCTGGTCCAGATATAAATCAACCACTTTGGTTTCTAACATACTGCCCTCATTTCAGCGCACCTGTTCCCATTCTTCAAGTCCTTCTTGAATCAGCTTCGTCGTTGTACTGTTTCCTTTAATTAATCAGGTACATAAATTGACACATGTCTATTTATTTTTATGAGAATACACATGTTCATTTACTTCTATGAGAATTTTTAACAATTAGATGAGTGCCTTTTCAAAAGACATTGTCTTGCCAATGGGTTTCAGCCACTATGGAGTCAGTGAGACCGGGGAATGACCACGGAACGTTCTTGGAGTGAAAGGGTTTTTTACCTGGCTTGTTCTCCCAGCGACAGGCTGAGCACTAGCCTTATGTCTGCATCCAGGAGTCTGCACGTCTGCAATCCTCCGTCGTCTCTGCCTCCCCCAGAGCACCGGGCAGAGCTCTTTCAGTGACTCCGTCAGTAATAGCTCACTGCCTATGGGTGTGGAAGCAGGCGCCCAGCGGCAGGCCAGTTACATCAAGTAGTTTAGGTTCAGGTGAGGATCCTGCTGTAGGAACTTCAATTTTCCCCACAGGCTTTCTCAGGGATATATTTTTAAAAATGTGTTCCTTGCTGTCAATGAACTTACAGGAAGATAAGACAGATAAAGCCCATAAATAAGGAAATAGAAATCAATACAAGATGGTTCAAAGCCATGGGGCTACCACCAACCACTGAGTGCACTGAGTTCATCTCTCTTTCCAGACCTGCTCCCCCTCCTATGTTTTCCCAGCCCAGTGAGAGATCCTAGATGGAATTATGATGATTCATGGGTATAATTCCCTCTGCCTTTTCCTCACCCTCCACGTGCAGTCCTTCGCAAGTCCTGTTGATTTTAATCTTCAACCTGTCTTCTATTCTCCGTAACTTCTACTAAAAGCTTCTCACCTGCAGAGCTCTTTATATAATGACTCCGTCAGTAATAGCTCACTGCCTACAGGTGTGCAAGCAGGCGCCGAGCGGCAGGCCAGTTACATCACCACGTAGTTTAGGGTCAGGTGAGGATCCCGCCATGGGAACCTTCACTTTATCCACAATGGCCATAGGAATTTCCATTTTCCCCACACCATCATTCTCTTCAAGAGTTGGAGAAAAAATCCTTT